GAGTAATAATTGACAAGATTTTCATAATAATATATAATATTTCATAGGAATATTGAAATATATTTTATTTCCCTATTCATTTGTTGTGTCTCCCAAAATGCGTAATAAACATGCTTTTAGTCCCGGTGTCCTCATATGAGGACATGTATGAAATCAACATCCTGTTTCGTAACAGAAAGTCATATTTTGATTTGAAACCCCATAACATTTTCCTGAAATGTTGATTTATGACAGACAGTTTAAAAATGTGTCCGATTTAAATGACAATTACAAAATATTATCATATTTCCATAAGAGTGTCACTAAATTAATATCAGACATTTTTGAAGACCAAGGAGAGGGGGTGGTCATGGTGAAACATCCAAACATTTAGTATCTCTGAAAAGCCCTGAATGTGCTCTGTACACGACATCCAGACTGTGACATGTATAGTCTCAGAGAAATTCACTAAAATATAATGTCCTCATTTGAGGATGCAGGGTCTCAGGAGGTTAATGCTCACCCTATTTTGTAAAAATAGGAAAGACAATACTTTTCTTAAAAGAAACAAGATTCCCTGAATTATCGTCATTGATATCGTTATCGTAATAAATACCAGAAATATCGTGATATATTTTTAAGCCCATATCGCCCATCCCTAGTTAGGGCCCTATGAATTTCCGCTATGCGGAAAACGCAGACAGAATCATGTAATCAGCTCAGAAAAATATCTCATAGGTCAGTACACTTAAATAAAAAAATATGCAGTAGCGTCTGTGAATATTAAGCTGCAAAAATACTTTAATATTAAAATATGAATATACATATTAAATATAAATATTAAATATTTAAATATGAATCCTGAATGTTCTGTGTGTGTCTGTGTAAATGTAATATATGCTGCTCTCTACAGATGCACTCTTGTCAAATCCTTGAGCAATGCCAAGTGCGCAGTCCTCAAAACCAGTTCATACACAATAAAACACCTTCTATACAGACTAGGGCTGCACGATAAATCGCATGCAATATTTAACACGCATCTTGTCAGAAAGCCGGTTCTGTAATCAGCGGTAAATCTCCATCACCTGCGTGCTTTCACATTGAGCAGCATTAACTACACAGAGCCGTTGTTCACTGACGAGCAGCGCAAAAAATCGCGGGAATATGAACGTGGTTTTGCGCAACTCGTCAGTGAACAACGGCTCTGTGTAGTTAATGCTGCTCAATGTGAAAA